TTGGTCGTGTCACAATAAATTAGAATACCATCGATAGGTGATGGTAACTGTTTTAAATTAAGACTTGAATTGTTTATTTTAAGTAGGTTTTGCAATTCTAGGTCCTGCTCTTGTTCGTGTCTTAACGTCTCGAAGTTTACTGTAGACTGCTGTAGCACGTTCATTTCTAGTCTGGATAAAGCATCTGCCGCCTGATTGTCCTGACCTTTGACATGTCGGATATCGCTTGTGAACTGTGATATATAGTCAAGGTGTCGGACTTCTCGAGGTGAGTATTTATCGGCTCTCGCTTTTAATGCATTCGTCAGTGGTTTATGATCCGTAAAGACTATAAATTCCCTACCTTCTAACATGTGTCGGAAGTGTTTAATGGTCAGGTAGATTGCAAGAAGTTCTCGCCCGAAGGTAGAATACCTTGTTTCGGCTGGAGCGAGTCTTTTCGAGAAGAAAGCAATTGGTTTCCAGGCGTTTTTAACCAGTTGGTTAAGGGTACCGCCTACTGCTTTATCTGAAGCATCCACCATCAAAGCAAGTGGGGAAAGAGAATTCGGATATATCAACGTAGTTGCTTGAGCCAGTTTATCTTTAAGCTGTTTAATAGCTTCGATGGCGTCAGAAGACAGTTTGAATTCTTTTGGTTTTCCTTTGAGTGAATCTGTCAAAGGTTGCATTAATTGTGCACAACCTGGTATGAATCTGCGATAAAAGTTAATTAGGCCTAGAAAAGTTCTCAGTTGTGTTAGAGAACTAGGTACGGGGTATTGTTTGATAGTATCCACTTCTTTTTTTATAGGTTTAATCCCTTCTGGGCTTATTGTGTGACCGAGAAATTCTAAAGTTTGAACACCGAAAACACACTTACTTTGATGTATGTTTATTCCATGTTCATCCAGTCTTTTCAACACTGCTTGTACATGCTGTTCGTGTGATTGCAAATCGGGGCTGGCAATTAACAAGTCGTCTATATACCCCTGCGCAAATGGCATATCTCGAAGTAGGTTATCTATGAATCTTTGAAATGTCTGTGCCGCATTTCTCAGGCCGAATGGCATGCGTACAAACTCGAATAAGCCAAAGGGTGTAGTAATAGCTGTCTTGGGAATATCTTCATCAGCCACTGGGATATTGTGATATGCCCTGACTAAGTCAATTTTAGTGAATATGTTCATACCCTGTAAACCGTTGGTGAAATCTTGGATATGAGGTATTGGGTACCTATCAGGTACGGTTTGACGGTTTAGGGCTCTGTAATCCCCGCACGGTCGCCAGTCACCTTCATTCTTCTTTGGGACCATATGCAAAGGGGATGCCTATTGACTATCAGAGGGACGGATGATACCCAGTTGTAGCATATAATCAAACTCGGCCCTAGCGATTTTGAGCTTATCTGGTGCTAGTCTCCTGGGTTTTGCAAACACCGGTGCACCTTCGGTTTTGATAGTGTGACTCACTTTTAGTTTGTCCTTAGAAGGCTGTGGGTTTGGTTTAGTTAAGTTTGGAAATTCCACGAGTATATCTTGGAATTTCGCTGTTGTTACTGGAGGAGTTTGAATCAAGTTAAGAGAGTTGATGTGACTTTCTTTGCCTTTTGTGTAATACGAAGTTTCTTTTAGTGTTAATCGCCGTTTCTTGGTGTCAACTAGAAATTCGTATCTCTCTAGAAAGTCCATCCTCAGTATTGCCAGATCTAAGTCGGCTACCGTGAAAACCCAAGGGAATTGCCTCCTGAACCCCAAATCTAGGGTTAAAGTTTTCTGCCCAAATGTCGCAATTTTAGTTTTATTTGCAGCTTGAAGTGTAATTGATGATGTTTCTCGACTAATCTCAGTTTTATTTCGAGGGATGATGCTAAGAGCAGCGCCAGTATCCACCAAGAAATTCAAGCCCGAGTTTCTGTCTCTAACATAAAACAAGCGACTGTTTAGGCGCCCCTCCTCAGTCGTCGCGACCTGGGGAGGGGTTACTCGTTTCCCGCTGTCTTAGAATTATGCTTAGGCCAGGCGCATGGTTGCATGCACTTGGTTGAGTTGACACCAAACTTCCAGTGGTACCAACAAAACTGCCCAGATTGTCTGGACATTTGTGACCTGTTTTGTGACTTGGATCGTGGTCGTTGTGGTGACCTGCTCCTGTTTCTATGACCCATTTGCATTCTGGTGACAGCCTCAGTGAGACTCTTAACACTCGCAATGAGTCCTTCTATTACGGGGTCTTTTGCTGATTCTACTTTTTGTGTGTGATTTATTGTGCCTGATCCAGTTGGAGGACCTCTTTCCATTATTCTGTCGGCTATACGCGCTAAATGAGATAATGAGGTTTCAGGATCCTGTGCATCCAAACAGTGTTGGACGTAGCATGGGAGAGCTTGCATCCATCCTTGTTTTAGGACTGCTTCACCCACTGTGTTATCACCCACTAAGACTTGGAGGTGACGTAAAAACTGTGACGGCGACCGATCACCTAGTGTTTCACCTTGAAAAAGTCTTTGGATTCTTTGACTATCTGATAATGATAAACGGTTCATTATCTCTCGTCTTAAGATGGTGTATGGTTGTGGTGATGGTGGACTTAAAATCAAGTCACGGACTTCTTTGGCGACTGAAGGATGAAGGGTAGAACACAAGTCTCGATAGCGAATCCCTTCAGATTTGATATTGTGTCTCGTGAAATAATGCTCTAGTTGAGCAAACCACAACTCAGGATCACTACGATCAAATTCTGGAAGTCGGGATTTCGTAGTCATAACAGTGTCTATCTCCACTGGTGACAAATCCTCCAGATTATGGGTTTCTATTGAGTCTGACATGAGGTATGTGACAAATATAGCAATAAAGTTAGCACAAAAAGTGGTTACTATAACACGAATAACTTAAGATGATACGAAATAAACTAGTTATATACTCAAATTAGTTTACGGATAATCAGGTCTACTTTTACGATTAAGTAAAAAAATGTTAATAACAGAAATGAGGTTAAATTTGTGTTCAAAAAGGGCTCACCAGATTCGTGCCTTAAGGTAACCCTCGTGCTATTGATAGAAGAAACCAGAGAAGTAGTGAATAGGTCTTTATTTCGATCTTCGCGCAGTCACAGTGGAGCGTGGGATTATCTGTTCAGACAAACAAAGGCTCTCAACATTCAAGATAATAGGGAATATAACGCTTATGAAAGATAAGGAAGTGAATGAATACTTGAACAATACTGTTTTGGCATAAGCTTGGTTGTTTGGGGTCAACTCTTAACCAACCAACCTGAGCTGTTACAGATATGTTTCTTCTGCGATATAGAAATGCTAAACATTCTGCAGTGAAAGAGATTCCATCAGATCTATTAGGTGGAAGAATTCTTCTTTTGAGTATGAGGTGTTTGGAGTCTACAGAAGTTACATATTACCGTGGGAATGATCTTCGACTATTCACGGGGGTTGTAATGAAGAATGTCAGGGAATCTGTGGTGCGAATTCTAGATATCAGTGATTTAATTATACAGAATGACTTGTTGATCAAGTACAATTCCAGAAAACAAATGAGTCTGTTCTAATTTCGGTTGTTGTTTCTAATACTAATGAGTACGTTCTAGATAATGCAGAGTGCACATCCAACACAGTGTCGAACAGACACAGAATGAATTTAAGGAGAAGACGTACAACTGAATACAGAAACCTAGACTCCAATTTAAGCTATGGCGGATCTAGTGTTTGTATGAACTAACGATTTCTTCGTACTTTGTGACTGTTTGATTTCGACATCCAAATACAATGCGCCCGTTCGTGTTCACATAGGTCTTCTTGGTTAAATTGCGTTATTTCTCTGATTCCTTGTTTGTACAATAGTTCAAATACTTTTAATCATCACACACCATCTGCTCGACTTTTCTCTCTATCACTTCTAAGACAGATGTTATGATGGGAGAACAGTCCATATCTACGGTGAGCCAAGTTTCTGTGTCAGAAATTATATCAGGAATTAATTCGGCCACCACCAAACTTAGCTTGTACGTTTTACTTGTAAGACTATGGTTGTTCGTGCAGCACACATTTAAGATGTTTTGAGAGTCATTTGTCCTACCCATACGTGTCTCGGAAGCATTGGCTTCCAAAACCTGACCGCCCGAAAACCCTTAATCGTAAGGTTCGTTTCGCCATTTAACTTTAGAGATTTTAACTACATTATGGCATTCTTCCACTCGATCCCCAAGCGGCCAACTTGATCGGGTACAAATATTTGAGTCACGATTTTGATATAATTTATTCGATGTTACGTCTCTTTCATCAAAATTCCGTGTATTAACCCTTTCTGCTTGGGTCTCACCTCCAACCTACTTACCGAGTCTTGTTACTCTCGTGATAGGTACCCCTGAAACTTCTTCAGACAGTATATTTCTGATATCAGAGTCCACTAAATTCAGATCGTGTGTATGCCTTTGAGCAGGGTCATTGCCTTTCGACTTCTCTAGACTCCAAATAATTAAACTAGGAACGGGTTTGACTTCTTTGAATGTCGTGTTCACGGCTTTCAATCATAATGTCATATCCTACGTGTTAACTGCTGGGAGCTTACTATTGGTTCTTGTTGTAACAGAGCTGTGTGAGTGGGGGAAATGATTTACGACAATGTTCGATGAGGCCAAACGTTTTCCATCTACGCAATGGTTAAATATTGTCTTATTTCAGGACTTCAGTGGAGCAATTTGTAATGCGAAATGTGAGTCCACCAAGGACTTCTCAACTAAACAGGCGCTGTTGTTAGTTATCTTTCCTTCTATTCTATGTTACAGCGTCATTCATTTCCGACCAGTCGCAGCATTGAAGCCGAGACTACTCTGGACGATAACGGTTTTGACTGGGTCAGCATTTGCTGCCGTGGCAAACTGACCACCAGTATCCAGTGATGCTTCATCACATTTGTCTGGCACGTGCCGTAACAGCACTTATGACAATAAAACATTCCCCACTATCATTACCCATGTTACGAGTACAGCCAAGGTCAAGGTACTCCATGGCGCAGCTTATAATCTAAGGGGGTTGTGTCGGATTTATATTCGGCGGATAACTGTCAGTTCTGGTTGCTGTCAAAAAAGACAGTGTAAAACATTTGTTGATGAGACCATGATCTATGGACGACTATTGAGCCATACTTAGATGACTTTGAGAATGTCCACATATCCGATACCTGTCATCCTATACATGATTGGTTCGTCCATAAATTATAGTCTCATCATCGGAGTGTCAGCAATCCATACAAGCAAACCTTACATCCTCACGCCAAGTAAATAATCCTTTGCTACCAAAAGAGTGTTGTCGAAGTCCTATGAATGCATAGGGCTGAATTACTTCTGATTACCCGAGCTGCCAACTTTAGGGAAATCCCCAGGTCTGGGGAAATTTTAGGGTTTGGGTCTGATTTCCCCAAAATCTACTATAGCGGCTTCCCCAAACTTTCCCCGAAATGGGTCAGATTTTCCTCAAAATTGGCAGCTTGGGTACTTTGTGGTGCTATTATAAATAGTCCACATTCCGACTTCTAAAGTCACAGTCTATTCCATTGTTAATGATCAAGTACATCTGGTTTTGATTTAGATATTGTCTTGGGTAAAGTTTGTATATTATTAATTGTCCTGCACTATTTAATTGAATATAAGTAGATCCTCCACTTACCGAATCAATTTTTCTGTTTCAGATTTTCGTTTAGCCTAATTGAATTACACTTTTCTCGAAAACCATCTTTATGGGCCGCATGCAAGTATATTAACGATTGGAGTTAACATATGCATGAGGTTTAAAGTGCATTGTTTATGTCCATTGCGTAAACAACATACTGGATATTATGATCATCCTGTGAATGTAAGCCCAATGGCATTTTGTCCCCGTTCAACTATAATGAGTTATTTGATTGTTAAAAACCTAAATATTATTCTGTTTGTTATAATGAGTGTCGTATTTCCATTGTGAAGTTTATTTGTGGCTTTTTAAATGAGAATAAATGCTTCTAAGCTTATTGGGCATTATATCGCATTTGTATGTCACACGTGACTATTACATCGTTATTAGTCTCCAATGCTATGACATGTATAGCCAGATTATCCATCCTGCCCAATTTCGGGTAACTAGCGCATGGCACGATATTAGTTTGGCATATACTCCTCAGTTGGTCTGTACTAAAGGACCTCATGACTAAATATAACCATACTGCTTATACTATATCAGACTAGCGAGATGTTTTGTCAGCGATCTCAAATGTCTCTGGCCTTATCAGTCTTTTTTGCTCAATAAAATGCACCTAGTTAGCTGAACAGACGCAGAAGTTCATAAAACCTCCGTCTTTATTAATAAATATTTACTGCGAATATTGTTGTCTATTATCTTATTCCCTGCATACCTCGGTAGATTCGTCGATCTTACCTTGTTTTCAATGAAAAGCTGAACAACTGTTCGTTGACCAAACGTGAAAAACCTGCATTACATTTCTATAACTCCATCGTTTGCTTAAGTTTTTGCAATAAATTACTAATTGGCTGAGAGTTTTTAAGAACTTATGTAACATGCATATTCAGATTCACTCTTTACCTTAAGCTTAAGACCTCTACTAAAAGTGTTTCTGTAGTGAAGACCATACTGGCACACTTGCGTAATAGTGGATATGTTCTAATCTGTTGTATTAACCAATAATTTAGACGTAAACTACTGTTCACACTTAAGCCTGGCAAATTTAGTACATTTTTAGAATGATTTGGTGCATTTCATTTTTAGATATATCGTGTAGTTTAAGCCCATTTGGAACCTCATACAAATTCCTTTTACCTTCTGTCCTTAAGTATGATACATTACGTGTATTGACATTTTCAAAGTAAGTCGACAGCTAGAATAATATTCATATTGACAACGGTTTAAAATAAGTGATTCATGACACTAAATTTCTTCGATACCATATAACATGCCCATAATAGATAGATTGGTATAACAAAATCCTGCATTTGGAAGATACCTTTCAAATTAATAGGTAACTGTTGCTGTTTTTGTCGTTTACCTTAATTTGTTAGGTAATGCTTTTAGATTGGAAGCTTACGTACCGAAGTTCATGACACTCCTGTGTTTTGGTAGATTTCGTATAAAAATGAAACATAGTTTTCTTTGGTTACATGTTCATCATTTCACATAAGATTAATAGTGTGTGGTTAGGTTTTGGTACACTGCAATGTATGAATAAAATATACTACTGATCGTTACCAATGTCTAACAACGTTATAACTTCAAGAAGTAGTTATACACCTGCTTCGGTTTGGGCACCCAGACAGTATCACAGCCCTCACACATATCGAATGAGATTTGTGTGGCGCATGTGTATTCGGTGCTTCCTTGTACCAATATCTATGTGTTAAAATGAAAATAAATAATAAGTAGTTATAGTGATATTGCGTATGCGTATTCATATTTACTTAATTACGAAAACCAATTTTCGTGTATGTTAAGAGAAAAAGCTGGTTCACAATACGTTCTATTATTAGTTATTGTCAAAGGTATTTCCTCCCTCATTTACTTTCACAATCTTAATATGTTAGTTCACTCATTTAGTATTGGCTTATCAATCAGTGGTTTTACTTAACTTCAATCCTAAAAAGCCTAACTGATGTTTGTTTTCTGTGCCTAGTCAGAATTGTAGAAAGCTACCATTTGATAACAAGTTACCTTTGTATGCTACTTTATTTTCCTACCTTACTAAGCGTATACACTTCGGTTTGGGTAACCGAGTACTATCATTAGCCTTCACATTTAAAGTTTATTTCATACCCAAGTGTTTGGAGAGTCAGTTAGATTAATAACTACTGACTAAACCCAGTATTAATTGTTAAGCATTTTTATATGTGACTCAATATACTTGCATTGACTTATTTGTATGACTGATGATCACAAAAACTATCGATTAGTCTTTCAATTAGTTAGTCATTTTTCTCATTCTGTTAGGTCATTTGCCAAATAAAGCACATTTTTGTTTGTAATCTTACTTGTAATTTCAAAGATTGTAACAATACTAATATATGAGATTATTGGATTTATATGGTAATTAAAATTTATTATCTATGTGTAGCTATGTAGAGTTATAAATTAAATAAGTATTCGTAACAAGTGAACTAGATAAACTGTTATTAGGCTAGTAACTCTGATCTCAGCAATTGATATTCAATTAGTATGTTATTAGTCCAGAGGAAACTCTAGGTGCTAAGGTTTGGGTGCCCAGGTTATATCTTTAAACCTTTGCACGAGTGTGGATCATAACTTGTATATTAGAAATTCTCTTAATCCGGTGCACAAGGATGATTGTCTTTGATGATCCATGTAATTATTAACCTTACTTACTTACGCCTGTTAACCCTCGTGGAGGAGCATTGGCTGCCCACTAGCATTCTCCATCCAACTCTGTCTTAAGTAATCCAAGTTGTTTCCAGTTGCTATTCATCCGTTGAATGTCTGCTTCCAATTTTCGACTCAGCGTGTTCTTTGGTCTTCCTCTTTTCCGTATCCGTTCAGGATTCCTAGTTAACGCTTGCCCCGTGATGTAGTTTGATTATTTCCTCAATGTGTGTTCTATCCACTTCCAACGTCTTTTCCTAATTTCCCCTTCAGCTGGAAGTTGGTTTGTTCTCTCCCACAGTAGACTGTTGCTGATGGTATCAGGCCAATGGACATTGAGTATCTTGTGTAAACAAGTGTTTATAAATACTTGTACCTTTTTGATATTGGCTATAGTAGTCCTCGAAGTTTCAGCTCCGTTGGACGTTTTAGTTTTAAAACCTATTATTCGAAGTATCATCTGAAAAGCGTTTCGGTACCAACTTTCAATGTATTTTATACATTTTCCAAATGTTATAGTTCTTGAAACCACCTTAGTGATGTTAGCTGATTTATGGTTGCATTTATTAATCTGCAAAAACGTATCCCATTTTCCACTAACCTTTTTAGCTAAATAGTTTTGTAAATTGACTCGTATAAAAAACTTAAAATGCTGGGGGAATAAGTTTTATATATGCCTTCAGTATCCGTGCGATTTTAATGTCTCACTTTTTGTCACATGCATTTTGATTTCTGCTAGAAAAATGATTGCTAAAGACCTTGTTTCCCAGACTAATAGCGGAGATAGAATGACGTGATTTCCTCTCTTCCTTTAACAATTGAGACCAATGATATTTATGATGGTGACGATAAAAATACTTTGTGCTTAGAAAACCTGAAATTGTGTATGATAACATTATTAGTTGGATATGCGATAAGGTAAATGTTTACCGATTACAATTGTTCGTTTGACAGTCGGAACCTAATACCAAGTACCTGTTCAAGGTTGTTGGGATCCCGTTTATACTCACTGTCTACGTGAATGATTCAAAGTAGTTCAGAAACGCATATATCTGAGTTGGTCCCAAAGACATTCTCTATATAAGATCAATCTAAAATTCTGTGGCACATTTGTAGCATTTTGCTGTAAATACACTAGTATGTATTACTTCTTTTTAAGTAATCCTATTCAGTATATATGAGATTCCGTAGTAGCGAGATTTCCTGAATGTCTCATCATATTACTGAGATCATTATCAGTGACATCCCTCCTACTTTTCCCTAATTTCATTTTGTTTTTGAAAGAGGGTACATTGGTGCTTATGCTTCATCAACCCTTCATGCTTGAAATAAATAACATATTAGTGTTTTTAATGATTCATTAAGTTAGTGTTTGGCAGTACAGTTATTTCGATTATATTTCTCTTGCACATTCTCCTCCGTTTTTGTTAGATAAACTCCTTTCCAAAATGTAGTATGTTTTTCATTAGCATTTAAGTTGCTTTTCGTCATCAACGTACAGTGGTGCCCTTATTTTCATGTATTGTCTGGGAATAAAGATCGTTGCTTTAGACAAGATGAATAAATATTGCCTGGATGGAAGTTTTTGTACTCATCCTAGTTTTTTAAATATTACTGTTGTGGGTTGAAAATTAATTTAAATGTTAGGATTAAAGTAATGTTTATTTGGTATTTCATGATGCATATTTTACTTTATCAAAGTCAGTAAGGTGATACAACTTTTGGTTTCTAATTAACTCTTTCACTGAGTTTTTTGTCTTCAGTATACCTGTTTATAGGTTTTAATCTCCCCTATATATCTGTTTTACAAACCAATTAATATCGTCATCTGTCGAAAAACTGTAGCTCATGGCTTAGTTTCTGAACGTGTATTTAATTATTGTGTTAAATGGCTGCATTTCACCAATTTTCTGTTACCTATGATTATTTTTTCAGTGTTCTTTGTTGATATCAATTACACGAAGTTCCTTATAATGCCTTAAGGTCAAACTTTTCGTACAATTTTTTTAAAATTTCATTTCAAAACCATAGATATCATGGCAAACAGTGAGAACACCGGATTGTCGAAAGCTGCAACTGCTGGAACTATTTTTGGTACTGGATTATTGAGTTGTGGACGTGTAGACAGGCGTACCTTTTTAAGTGCTCTCCTGGGTGCTGGACTAGGATTCGCACTAGGGATCCTTTCACATGGTCTGTTAAATAGTTTATTACTATTCTTGAAACGTGATAAACAGAGTGAACAATTGCGTCATATGACTGAACAGTTAGCTAGTGTTAGAGCGGAACTGTCGGAATTACGTAATGAATTATATAATACTCACGTAAAGAGTTTGGATAGCAAAGATAATGTAAGTATTTTCTTTACGTTGTTTTCATTATCATATTATCGTCTCGGTAAGATGGTTATACCGAAATAAGATTTTTAATTGTTAGGTGCGGTATTCGGTGATATATAAATTTGTACCTCAAGTTTTTTTAAATCTTTAGATACATATCAAGACTAGCTAAGGACTGGGGGACAGATTTCTGATTATCTATAAGTGTGCCAAATTATTGTCATCCTGACAAATTCTGTAGTTGGTCAAAGCAGTGGACATAAGTCAATTGGATGATACATCTTTAGGTTAGCAGCCTCAACATGCACTCAATTTTAAAATATTTCACCATAAGCAGTGTTCAGTTAGTCAGAATTTTGTAGTAGTTCATATTATCTGGACATCTATTACACATTTCATTGGTTTTTAGAGTGGAAATATCAATTTTTTGCTTTCATACTACATGAGTTCATGATGTTTAAAACACTATATAGTTAAATGGAAATAAGCGAACAATATTATTTTCGATTAGATCCTCATCAGGCTTTACTCTAATATACAGTAATATTTATATGCATATACGAAGTTATTAAACCAATCCTCAACTAAAGGATAAGTTACCTGATTATTCCACTTCTATGTGTATCTACGAATTCAGCTGCTCCTGTGGAGAAAGCTATATTGGGCACACTACCAGACAACTGATCCAAAGAGTTAGTGAACACCTCCCTTCGTGGTTAGGGAAAGGTACTTTCAGGACAATACGCTTCTCCGTTCTATCACACTTGTTCGATAGCGGTCATTTAGTAGACAGAAATAAGTCATTTCAAGTTATTTATCGTATTCCTATTAGTTTTCCTTACGGGTTTCTATCTCGTCTCTTACATAGCAGAAGCTATAGGAATTCGAGTCAACAATCCAAGTCTTTGTGTCCATAAGAAATTTGTAACACCTTTATCTCTCCCTTGGCCTTAAGTAATGATTTTATTTATTATTATTTGCCATACTCTTTCTTCGTTTATTTTCCTTCACCCTCTCCCACCCTTTTCTTTTTTTCTCAAATAAACGTTTCATGGTCCAATTATCTAAACACTTCCTATTGCGTAATCTTATAAATTTTGTGAATGTTATTTCAGTGTCTATATTTTTCTAATCATTGACCTATTTCCCATTATGTAACATTGACTCAAGCCTTTATTATTTCTATCACAACTAGTACACCTGTCATCACACTATCAATTTCTACTTTTCATTTATTATGTTTATTTCTGTAATCTATTCCACTGTTATCATATATGTATATAAATATTAATGTATATTAGAGTGAAGCCTGGTGAGGATCTAAGTCACAATATAGGAATTTTTCAAATGGAAATAAGATGAATCATTATGATGTTATACTTTGAAAGAATCATACCGTTGTGAGATTCGGTTACATTTGAAGTACGGCAATTCGAACCTCAAATAGTGTAATGTATTAGTGAAGAGAATTTAAGCGAACTACATATGTTCATTAGAGGATCGTTCATATATATTTAAACAAATTCTTCGTCAGCTTTAAGTATCAACTATTCATTACATACATTAAAGTCCAATATCGATCTATATTGATGAGTATTTTGTGTTACTATTTTATTTGTTCTAAATTGGGACAATGAATGTTTTTGTTTGTACTGAAATATTCAGTTACATAAATTTCTAAGCATGATTGATAGACTAAATTAAAATATTAGTTAAAATCACCGTACGATCAGTAGAAACAATAATAATAAGTCCATACCAACTGATAGAGGGGGTTTCTCATATACCAAACTTCTCATACTTGACCAGAAAGCCAATTTCAGTCTTGTAAGTAATTCATATGGCCTTAACATAATTTAAATTTCTGGAAAATATTCAATGTCGCACAATGTGATGTAGTATGCACTACTTAGCGGACGAATATAGATAGTATTTAGCAGGAATGGGAAGTAGAATGCTTACCAACAGAAGAGTGAAATAAGGAGAAGAGCAATGAAATCAGTGAGCAATTGGAATAACAACAGAATCGGAAGGACGACTAAGTGTGTAAAGAACAACTAAATGAGAATAAGCAAATAATGTGTTCAATGTGTGAATTTCATATTTTACAAAACTACTGTTTGATTTTGCACAAAACAATAAATTGGTTTACCTCTCCTGAGTTTTCGTTCACTTCAGTAGCAGTACACATAGTATCAAGTTATTAATTCTGGTTTCCATATTAGATGAACTAAATTACTCAGTCATTAAATAGGATATCGAAATTTACCAACTATTGCAACGCAAACTTCAAATTATACATTTGTGAACTGTTAGTAAAAGATTTCTTCAGTAAGCTTCTTTGAGGTTATATGATCTGTTAAACGAAGCTATTCTCTAAGAAAATTATTGTCTTAATTTGTACGTACGGAACGGTAGATATTCACAAATATTTGTTGCTCATTCTGTTAAGCCAAAATAGTGACCAACACCTTATTTCTGTTTTTGTTTGTACTTCTTGAATAACATCTTCAAACCCTAATCCTTCCGATTACTGCTTATACTTTTACTACCTCTACTAGTACGGGATTTCAATCGACAATTGTATCTCTGTGCTAATGTGGCATGGCAACTGAAACTGATGTACGTACTTACGAAGTTCTAAGTTGTTGCCGACTGACTGGTTTGCTAACCAGTATGATATGTAAAAGCGAACAGTTGCTGAAAAAACGTGACATGTATTTAAGCATCTGAGGCGATGAGTGTTCATGGCCTCAGGAATTGATTTCTCTATCTACCTAGTACCTTAAGCCTTACCTCAAAGTTATATGATCTTCAGTTTTACAACATACAACCAATGATGTCATAGCCGCACCAATTCTATTTAGAGATCAGTATTTTTTAATGCATGACTCAACAGTTTGAAAAGACTGCAACAGATACTAGGTTATTTACCTATTTTACTGGGATTGTTGGCTCCACATGTGTGAACTAGTTCATTAGCCTTCAGCTATTTAATACATTTTGTAGATGCCAACTTTTATGTACAAATTCGAATAGAACAAACCAAACCGATGCTTTCATCTTTGCATCTCAAGGTAGAACTTTTAATTGCTCTTTATGGTACAACATCCCATGCACGTCTTCAGCTGTTCGGCGTTACTATTAAACAATAAATATGGTTGTGAATTAACTAAGACTAGACTGAATAGACCGAACAGGTAAATCCCCTTGACGATAGGCTTTAGATTTGAGGGAGATTAGATATCACGACAACTGTTCTCTGGTCGAAGGATTCCTACTGAATTAAATTCATCTATATATTTAGGAGAGGTGACTCGACCGTGAATTATTTATTCAATCTTACGAAGGTTATATAAAAGTGACAGCGAAAGCAACCAAACAGGTGTTGATGTTTTACCCTCAACTGTTGTGTTAACTTTGGCATTTTAGTATTCAAAACATCACATATGTTTTGTTTATATATTTTGTCTTACCTATACATTACTCTTGTAGGATGACGTCCCACCAATTTTTATAGGCGATGATGACTACGACCTAGATGATGATTACGAAAACTACTTCGATGTGGAAAATTTCGGTGATGAGTAAGTTCTAGTTGCTTTCGAGTCTTTGTCATTATTTTGTGTGCAGCCACTCTCACTTTTCAGTTATAAGTGAGATAAATAAAATCTAAAAAACAAAATCGTACCGAAGATTCAATTTATGAAAAACAACATCTGGATTACTTACTTTACTTACTTACGCCTGTTACTCCCGATGGAGCATAGGCCGCTGACCAGCATTCTCCAACCCACTCTGTCCTGGGCCTTCTTTTCTAGTTCCATCCAATTCTTGTCCATTTTTTTCATGTCTATCTCCAGTTCTCGGCGTAATGTGTTCTTTGGTCTTCCTCTTTTCCTTTGACCTTCAGGATTCCATGTGAGGGCTTGTCTTGTGACGCAGTTCGGTGCTTTCCTCAATGTGTGTCCTATCCACTTCCAGCGCTTCTTCCTAATTTCTTCCTCCACTGGGATCTGGTTTGTTCTTTCCCACACTTGGTTGTTGCTAATATTGTCCGGCCAATGGATTTGAAGTATTTTGCGTAGACAACTGTTAATAAACACTTGTATCTTCTGGATGATGGCTTTCGTAGTTCTGCAGGTTTCCTCCCCATACAGTAGAACTGTCTTAACGCTAACCAGAAAAAATTATTCAAACATCTGGATAGTTAGAATTAAACATTAAATCGATGTCAATGAGCATAGTTGGGACCGGGAGTGATATTCTGAAACTTTTGAGTTTAATTTCATCAAAAGTACTTCCCCCTTAAGCGTTATTTTTAGAGTTAAAAGTCAGATTTATCAAGAAAACACCCAAGTAAGTCTAGAAGTCGGTCTGTATCTCTTGATACTCTAAGAGACCTCTTATTTAAACTCAGCACTTCATGTTTTCACAATTCGGGAGGGAATAGCTACTTCGTTTACTACAGTTAGCTAAAAAACGATCTAAACAGTGCATTAATTCCATCCATTCGTTGTTCTGGCTTCTTTGATTATCAGCTGGCTGTGACTTTTGATAGTGACCAACGTGACTTTCATTATTTTGTAAATACAGTAAAATGGTTTTGCAAGAATTAGTTTGTCGTAAAATCTTCAATTGCTGGGTTACAGGTGTAAACCCAATCTATGTGTTCTGACACGAACTGCGTAAATTTATGGAAAGCAGATTAAACTCGTTTTAACTAAGTTGTTGTTTACAGATCTAAGGCTAATGCATTCTTTGTCAGAATTGAATCAGGCTGTTTATCTATGGAAGTTGTCTCTGATGTTTAGATTATTGTGCCATCCTTTTCTGTTTGTTTTTTTCTCACAATCGAAGCATGAATTCCCCATCGATTCAGTTCGGTAAATTTCCAGAGGAAGTTTTATCGTCGGCAAATTCGTTTCAAAGTGTTGGTAGTCATTTAAGCAACAACTCTTCTTATTGGTCGATGATAGTTCAAGTTCCGACCGATGTGCTAGAGGAAATAGATAAACTGGCTGATTATGCTTTAGGTGAGTATTCATCAAGTGACTCACAAATGCATCCTAATGACAATGATATCAATCCAGGCATACAAGCTTACGCTAGATGTCTAGTATACATGCAAAAGGTACGAATTTTTATTCGATTGTTACAGTTGTTCGTTAATTGAATTCCCAGTTTTTTTACTGATTGGTATTCCACAAACATGTATGTGCAGTGGAACTGATTGTAATAACTATACTGTATTCATTATTTTGTTCGTATGTCTATCAAAATGGATAATAACGTCTGGATTTTAGTGGTGTTGCATTCTGTGAGCTGTGGTTTAATTTGGAAGATTTTGTGATCACTCTAAATGACATCATATGCACCTGCCTCAAATGCACATCGATGTTTCTAAAATTATATCCCCAGAGCTTAGAGAACATAACACCACAAAATGCATCAACCTAAGCTGCAGTTTTTCTCTGTCAGTGTTTTTATTTGTTGGACTTATTTGTTGAAATTATTTCTCTAAAGCTGTATTTAGAGTTGAAGATAGTTGGTAAGTGTTGTGGCCTGCAGGTTTTGATAAGCAGCGTTTATATCGATCGATTACAGTAGACACGTAAACACGTAGTGGATGACCTAGTGCCCTGATTGGCCCTGCTTCGTTGTCTGTCCTAGCCAGTTGAGTCAAGAACACAAGTCACAGCCTCTGAGTTATGAATCATTTTATTTCAGACATACTCTATTTATATACTAACCAAACAAACCACATCGTACCATAAAATAGAGAACAACATTTACACAATATTTAACAAGTGAAATAAACATCGACCAATAGGAAATGTACATTTAAGGTCCAAGGCCACCATAGACTTAACACGATAATTATTGGTATATTTTTCCTCAGCATCCATAACAGTAAGATGCCTTAAAATTGTGCTTCTAGTTGATTTGTATCTCTTTAAAAAAGGGTATTCGCAACTTTGAGAGAAGTAGTACTCTATAAGAGACCGAAAATAGCATCAGAGATACCTCTAATATGACGTTTTAATACTTGCTGTGAGTAAAATCTAAAAGTAATGGTCGTTAGATCTTTATTGGGTGATTTGCTGTAATTCTGGATTGGAAACTGATAACGAGTTTGCCTGTCAATAACGCTCGAACAAAAAGTACTTACTTACTTACTTACGCCTGTTACTCCCGATGGAGCATAGGCCGCTGACCAGCATTCTCCAATCCACTCTGTCCTGGGCCTTCTTTTCTAGTTCCATCCAATTCTTGTCCATTTTTTTCATGTCTATCTCCAGTTCTCGGCGTAATGTGTTCTTTGGTCTTCCTCTTTTCCTTTGACCTTCAGGATTCCATGTGAGGGCTTGTCTTGTGACGCAGTTCGGTGCTTTCCTCAATGTGTGTCCTATCCACTTCCAGCGCTTCTTCCTAATTTCTTCCTCCGCTGGGATCTCGTTTATTCTTTCCCACACTTGGTTGTTGCTAATATTGTCCGGCCAATGGATTTGAAGTATTTTGCGTAGACAACTGTTAATAAACACTTGTATCTTCTGGATGATGGCTTTCGTAGTTCTGCAGGTTTCCTCCCCATACAGTAGAACTGTCTTGATATTTGTATTGAAAATCCTGACCTTGGTGTTGGTTGACAGTTGTTTTGAGTTCCAGAGGTTCCTCAATTGTAAATATGCTGCTCTTGCTTTGCCGATCCGCGCCTTCACGTCTGCATTAGATCCACCGTGTTCATCAATGATGCTGCCCAGATATGTAAAGGTTCTTACATCTTCCAAATCTTCTCCGTCAATTGTGATTGGAGTGGTGCATGGTGTGTTGTAACGGAGAATTTTGCTTTTCCCTTTGTGTATATTGAGACCTACTGCTGCTGAGGCTGCTACTACACTTGTCATCTCCTACATTTGTTTTTGCGTTTGCGATAAAAGAGCCGGATCATCTGCAAAGTTTAGATCGTCCAGCTGCATTCTACCTGTTCACTGTATCTCGTGCTTCCCTCAGATGTTGACGTCTTGATGATCCAGTCGACCACCAGGAGAAAGAGAAAGGTTGAGAGTAAGCAACCTTGCCTGACACCGGTCTTCACCTCGAACGAGTCTGTCAATTGTCCTCCATGCACAATTTTGCAGCTTAATTCATCATAGGAATTCCGTATGATATTGACTATCTTCTGAGGCACGCTGTAGTATCGAAGAAGCTTCCATAGTGTTGTTCTGTCCACGCTATCAAATGCTTTTTCGTAGTCAATGAAGTTGATGTAGAGTGATGAATTCCGTTCAATTGATTGTTCCACAATGATCAGTACAGTTGCGATTTGGTCTGTACACGATCTATCCTTACGGAATTCTGCCTGTTGGTCACGAAGTTGGGCGTCTACGCAGTCCTTCATCCTATTTAACAATACCCTGTTGAAGACGTTTCCCGGTATTGAGAGAAGAGTGATGCCCTTGTAGTTATCACAGTTGCTGAGATCGCCTTTCTTCGGTAGTTTGACCAGAAGTCCTTATTTCCAGTCTGTTGGTACTTGTTCCTCATCCCAAATCTTATTGAAGAGAATATGGAGTATCCTTGCAGTTGCCGCTACGTCTGATTTCGGTGCCTCTGCTGGGATGTTGTCTGGTTCTGCTGCTTCGCCACTCTTGATTTGTCTGATGGCCATGCTGATTTCTTCAATTGTTGGTGGGCCAACATTGATTGGGAGGTCCGTGGGTGCTGCTTCGATGTTGGGTGGGTTCAGTGGCGCTGGTCGATTCAAGAGTTCTTCGGAGTGTTCTACCCACCTGTTTCGTTGTTCTTCAATATTGGTGATTACCTTGCGGTCCTTGCTTTTCACAGGTCGCTCCGGTTTGCGGCGATTTCCAAAGAGTTTCTTTGTCGTGTCATACAGTTGTCTCATGTTCCCTTCTTTTGCAGCCTTTTTTGCCGTCGTTGCTAAATCTTCCACATATTTACGTTTGTCAGTTTTGATGCTCCTTTTCACTTGTTTGTTTACTTCTGTGTATTCAGCTTGTGCCTTGGCTTTTTCTGCTCTTGTTCGGCTGGTATTGATTGCTGCCTTCTTGTACCTCCTTTCTTGAATCTTATGCAGTGTATCAACAGTGATCCATTCCTTGTGATGGTGCTTCTTGTGGCACAGAACACCATGACATATTGAAGTGATTGCCTCTTTGATCCCCTTCCAGTTGCTCTCCACAGTAGTTCCTTCTTCATTGAGTAGATCATGAACGGCCTGGAACTTATTGCTGAGGACTATCTTGAATTTGTTGAGTTTGTCAGTATCCGGAAGAAAAGCCGTATTAAACATTTGTGATATTCTCCGCCCCATTGTTCGGTGCTTCTTAAGTTTCAATTTCATCTTGGCGATCAGTAAGTGATGATCTGATGCTATATCAGCTCCTCTCTTGGTTTTGACGTCCTCCATCGTCCTACTGAATTTTTTGTTGATGCAGATATGGTCGATTTGGTTCTGTGTAGTGTGATTTAGTGAAGTTCATTTGGTATTGTGTATGAGTTCATGTGGGAATATGGTGCCGCCAATGACTAGTTTATTGAAGGCACATAGGTTTGCAAATCTCACCATTTTCGTCCCTTTCTCTTAGTCCATGTGGTCCCATGACTTCTTCATATCCAGTGTTGTCCGTTCCAACCTTGGCATTGAAATCTTCCATCAGAATGGTCAGGTCCTTTGTTGGGCACTTCTCGATGATTGACTGCAGCCTATTGTAGAATTGATCTTTAACGTCTTCATTATAGTCGTTGGTAGGCGCATAGCATTAGATGATGTTCATTGAAATGCCCTCTTTCTTTGTTTTGAAGGAGGCTTTGATGATCCTTGGTCCATGAGATTCCCATCCTATAAGTGCATTTCGCGCTTGTTTGGACAGCATCAATGCAACTCCTTGTGTATGTGGTGCATTTTCTTCTTCATGGCCGGAGTATAACAGGAGCTCTCCTGTAGTTAGTAGTTGTTGTCCAACTTGTGTCCAATGTGTTTCACTGATCCCAAGTACCTCTAGGTTGTATCTTCTCATTTCTGCAGCAATTTGGAAGGCTCTCCCGGTGTCCCACATTGTACGAACATTCCATGTACCTAAATAAATGGTTGCTCTGGTTGTCAGAAGGGGCATCGGCCTCGTAACTTCCGAAGGAATTCGGCTTTCATCATGAGGCGTCATAGCTCTTCTAAATGAAGACCTTCTGACTCCCAGGGCAGAGTTTAAAGGGTTCGAGTATTTGTTTTCTGGTTAGCGTTTTTTTAGCGAGTTATTTTTCTACGGGATGGGGTCACTAAACCCATGCCCAACCCTCCTCCTTTATCCGGGCTTAAGACACCGGCAGTAGCCCCCAGAGGGACTCCAGGCGGAGTAGAATGAGGAATGAAAACAAATTTAGTCAGTAGGGTTGTGTTTCATTTTGGATATTGTTATAACGTGAAAAATGAATGCTGCTGATTGAGGGTAGCGAATTATTGATCGGACCAAAGACGCGCAAACACGTAGAACGACCTAGGGTTCTGATTGGTCTCGCTTCCCTGTATAGCCCAGCCAATTGAGTCCAGAACGCAAGTCACAGCCTCGGATTTATGAATCATTATATTTCAAACATACTTTGTTTATATACCAGTCAAGCAGACCACAACGTGCCACAAAATAGAAAATAACATTGTACAATATTGGCCAACAGGAAAATAACACGTTAAATAAATATTAACCAATAAGATGATACCATTTCATGTCCAAGAATAGCATTAGGCTTAACAGGATAATTTTTGGGATATTTTCCTGAATATCCCAACAGATATATTACAAGCGAAATGTGGTGGCACATGTAAATTGTACATAAAGTAAGCATTATCAAATGTAAATGTTATCTTGGATTATAGATATCATCACCAAGATAAGACTTGGTAATTTCAAATAAGTTGAGAACTGCGTAGAATGTTAATAATAAAGTAATGATGTATTTGTAATATCTTAATGTGTAGAAATTAGTATTTCTGACGTTTTGTGATTTAGTGTAAGGCATTTTTTCAGAGTAAATCAATAAGTAACTGAATTAGATCAACATAAGTTTAAATACCATAAAGGAACTGAGCGTAATTCAATCTTAATATTCAGTTCGCACCAAATGAATACCGATTTTTGAGATATTTTGGCAATTCTTCCTGGCATATTTTAACACTCAAACTAATGACAAGTATCGGTGATTTTGCCCAAGTTTTTCATCAATAACATTTTATAGGATTAAAACTGTCGATTGTGGTAACTCATATATAATTCTAATTGTAACAGATGTATGAATTTTCATGCAGTTACAGAGTATTAAATTTTGTTTCTTAATTTTTAAACATGATGTGAATGTACAATTGTATTATTGGTTCGAATTTTTCTGTTTCACATTTGTTATAGTATCGCTATTGCCCAGAATTCTTGTGGCGTTTAGCTCGTGCTACCTACATAGCCAGTGTAGAAGCGCCATTAGATGAAGCTGTGTCACAAAAGGATGATGCATCACACGGTCATCATACCTTAAATGATATTGCTTATAAAGTGCAAACTCGTCGACAGTTTATTGAGTCAGGAATAAAACATGCACGTCGAGCGTTAAGTCTCGCACAAAGAGCTCCACCACCGCTGGATAACGATCCAACAAAACTAGCTCCAATATATAAATGGTTAGCTATTTTAGTTGGTGTCTATTCATCTTACCTCAGTGCTCAACAAAGAATACAGTATGGTTATGAATTTAAGGCAAGTTATCTAGATGTACTATACTTGCTTTTTTATTTAGTCCCATTCACATCATTTGACATTCTATATGGAAAGAAATCCATTGTTGATTACAAATAAATAACTAAGTGGATAAATAACAAAAAAATAATAAAGCGATCTCAACGATGTGCATAAATGCAGACTAATGTGATGTACGAGTTTATTTTTGCATCTGATTTTCGATCAATATGGGTCAATGCTACTGTGAATATGTAGGTCATCAATAGCGAATTAGTGGTCCAAGCACTTGGATTGCATCTCCTGGGTCTTGTTTTTGGAACTTTATCCCACGTACATCACTTCTGGCAGCCGAGTAGTACCAGTAGATCCTACAGTGGCTTAAATCCGAGTATGTAGACTTGTAAGTGATGAGCTACTTTAGCGAATTATTACTCACGTAGATTTTCTCATTTTCATACGATTAGGTTTGTATCTATTGACAGCGGCTGTTACTAATGTGCAATTAGCAAATGTTTTTATAAAAAGTGTACATTGTTCTGTCATACTTGCATACTATACTTAGGCAACCACTCTGTCATAGTTTTCTGATATATTCGCCCTCCAAAGTCTTAATTATATTAAAGATCCAAGTGTCATCATGTGAGGAATAGTCTTTTAATATCATGTAACCATAAGCAAGGAATATATTTTTATCTGGTTCATCTTTAGAATGTGCAATATATAAAGCCTCTCTTTTCAACATATTGATAAGCATCAATATGAAAATCTTTCATGCAATGTGCCGTCACACTTCCCTTGGTCAGTGATAAGATAATTCGTTAGTCCTCAGTCACTAAGTGGTTGTGCAACTCAAGTCTGATTTCACAAGCATTAGAAGTTAACTTCGTGAATGAACATATACACCATGTATGGCAATTTGAATTAAATCTGTGTGCATACACGTTCAGTCTTACTTTTTTGGACCCAATCGTTAATAGTTTTATATACCGCACTTTATTGCATATTTCAACTGTTTTTTATAATTTGTTAAAGGAATTAATTGACACCGCAATCAAGCTTGACACTTCTGATGCCCTGTCCTATTATCTACGAGGTCGTTGGTGTTATGAGGTATGTAACTTGTTGCCATTCAGGAAGTTCTATTGCTCATAATAATTTAACTTGTTGAAAGCAGTTTTCTCACCATCCGTCGAGAAGGTACAAATATTTTATCGACGAAAACAGAATTTCAAACAAACCGATTTCCTCCCAAATTTCCCTTGTCACCCTTTTTGAACACTACCTATGTTGCATCTCAGACAATAAATTCTTAGTCCTTCTTTATGTTTGGCTACTCTACATGCAATAATATTTCTCGTTCGTTAGTTTTTGATAATACTTCGTATCTTTGCAGCTCTTAAAAAAGCCACTTTAGTACCATAGATTAATGCAGAAGACATATGCAATCAGTCAGCTACAAGGTAGGACGTCCAACAGTATCGATGACACATTCTCCTAACTGTTCTTGTTTTTTCATTTTAATCCTAGGTGTATAATGTTTCGTGGATTGAGCGCCAGATTGCATCTAGGTTATTTGGCAAGCCTCCGACATCTACCATTGAGGAAGCTGAGACAGCATTTGAAAAGGTAAGCACAGATTTAAAGAATTTAGTTCAGTATTTATTAGCGTTCAACTTCCGTCTAATTAAGTTATTTCATTTGTTTGATTGAACAGGCTGAAGAATTGCGCCCAAACCACTACGCTGCACTGTACCTGTATCAAGCTAAATGTTCTTTGTCTTACTTAGATTACAAAACAGCACTGTATAAATTAAACAAAGCTCGAGGCTTATTTGACCAACATAGATATCCTATACCACACACAGATATCGGTTCTGTACAACAAGAAGTAGATCAACTGTACGACAAGTACTCTGGATACCTATGAAATCATGTATATAGCGAAAAATATATATTACTTTAATTTATATATTTCTCATTGTTTCCATCAACTTAAGTTGTATCTTATTCAAAACGGAAATTTTGTGATATATACATAGTGCGTGAAAAATTACATATGATCAAGATATTCGTTTATAAATTTTAGCTTTCTTGGCTTTCTTATCAGATACACCAAATGGTTTATAACGCTTTTGGCCTGGATTTTCTCGTGTTCTCTTTGATTTTACATTCAAATCCACCTTGGGAGTAATTGATAGTCCACATGTTCTTGCTGTTGCGGCCAAGTCTAGTTCATCTACATTGAAACAGCTTAGGCCAGACGAAGCGTAAGCACGAACTATACCTTTGAAGGCTTCCTGAGCAGAAAGAGCAAGGAAATAGTTGTTTTTGACCAACTTCTCCAGAGCTGGTTGCACATCCGCCATCTTTGAATTGGCTATTTCATACTCTACAACCTTAACTCGAGCTTTTCTTAGAATTGATAGAAACTCTAATTCATGAGGCCTCAACACTAGCAAAGCATTTCCCGTGCTGCCTGCTCGAGCTGTACGACCAACTCGATGTATATACTCTTTGGCGTCATCAGGTGGGTCATATTGTAAAATCCAGTCAACCTAATAAAAGTAATTCAGTAAATAATAATGTAACACGCATCAAAAAAATGAGACTATTACACTGAATATTCCAGAAGGCTTGAAGTAAAATACATCTTTTCTTTGAAGGATAAAGTGAGTGTGCAAAACACTAAGTAATTTACTAATCGTTAAATTGATTATGATACATGCATAAATCTATTTATAAGAAACGGAATAGGTCATAAGAACACATTGTGAGAATACGTTTGGAAATCTAGTCACGAGTCTGGCTCACGTAAATAAGCGTAGGGGTATCAACTCTTGACATTTTAACCAGATACGTTACTAGCTCTGGGTACTCAAGTAGTATTCAGAACCCTGAACCACGCATGTAGGTCCAGCTAGCTGAATTTGATACATGAACTTTAGGGAAGTCCGTTAAGACTGGGAAACTTTTGTCATTAATGAGTGTTGTATCTAAGACGCTCGTATTTCCTATTTGTGGAACCATACTACCAAGCCAATCAATATAGCGATTTTTAGATATCTGCGCAAACGGCAGAAAATAGTGACAGCCGGTGGAGACAAAACTGTTATGCCATCGTACGAGAATAACGTGGTGTGGATGCAAAATTACACGAAGCACTTAGTGCTAGTGCAGATTCCGTCTGGAATGTCAATTGTTTTTCCCAAAGTTCAAAGTAAATCTAGTTAAATAACGTCATTACTGACCCATAGGACGAAGGATATTATCATTTATAAAGAACAGTTAAAGGCGTCAGGAATTCAACCTGGATGGTTTTCAGGAAGTTATGTCAGCATTGCAGAAAATGTTTACACATTATTAAAGACAACGAGAAGACGGCCGCAAAAGTATTTATGACTCGATAAAAAATTCTAACATGCCGACCCTACGAGTGAGCTTTTGTAGAAAATGGATGGTCTGTGATATAAAGAATCTATCATAAAGCGTGATAAATTTATAAAGCTGTGTAAAAACGATATATCCACTTAGTTTTTAATAGCTGCTTTTGATTTTAACTACTTGTATATTTATTAGCTGAGGTATCCAAAATTAAAGGTAATTATCAGTGTCGCACAGGTTTAACAGTATGATAAGCTTTCACCCATTATTCCAGCGAGGTACCGAGAATTCATCTGATATATTGGTAGTAAATGCATGTTTTCTATGCACTTATTAAAAGGGAACTACGATTTTGTTATCTTGGATTAAGGTCTAGGGTACAGTGCAGTTTTCTTAAGCATTTGCTTATGGGTTGTTCAAAACAAAAACCGGTGGAAAAAATTGTCTTTGCATCATTTTTAACCGCAACGGATTTCAGTTAATATACACTCGAAGATGGGTTTTACTTCTAAGTAAATGACCAATTGCGTTCAAAAGATATTATGAAGCTAGCTGGGGACTTGCACATCACAGTGATACGATGCCCGTTAATTAACCCATATTGATTGGAGAATGAGTAACAAATGAGCTAATTTCCTCGAATTGTCAATGACTACTATGTCTATTCATCTGGTTCGTAGTTTTACCTTTGATTTCTGATCATTAGGGGGCTTAAAACAATAATAACGTCTCGCGAATAGCCATCATTCAGCTGCCTCACATCATTGGATTAACAGCCTACATACAGTTTGACAACCAAAAATCCGCTCATCTCCTATAACGCACATTAAACGATGGAAACCAAGGTAACCGAAAGAAAAATATCAAGATGCTAAGCATAAATAATATAGCTCGGAAAACTAATGAAATAAAGGAATCTTGGGCGAGACCATTGTTGAAATCCAATATTTACCAGTAGCTAAAAAAGGGATATGACTGGCCACCTTAGATGGTGGATAGTAATAGCCTCATGCTCCAGTTTACTATTTCTATCTAGTAGCCGAAGTGTCGTTTATATGTTATTTACTCAGCTGTTTTACATACACAATAATATACATGATGAAATGTAACTTCAGCATATCTGCTCATAGAGCAGCTGTGTAATGACCTTCACTTTGATGGACAGACGACCATTTTACTATCAGTACTTGTCGGTGAATTCCAACAAAAATTTGAAATCTGCAGGGAAATTTTTTAAGCTACCAATCAAAGTCGGTGTAGAATTTATGACGGAGTGGTCAGAACGCTCAAATAGTTTGCCTTCTACACTCATACTAGATACTGACGCAACTTTCTTGAGCCAATATTTTACACTTTGAGAGGGATGCTTATAAACATTTTTACACTCCTACACAAATTGCTCAGATCCGCATTGTAAGCGTTATCCTCAAGCAGAAATATACAATATGTTTATTTCGTTTAGCCCAATACTTAGAAAAAATATTCCCATCTACAGAGAGCTCTGGCGCAGGCACCTAGTGAATTTAGTCCATTCAAATAACAGTATACCGCGAATCGCGATCACATTTCGAGTACTAGGTCTTCATTAGGTTGGTTAATTTACGAAAAAAACTTTCTCATTGACAGATAGTCTCATGGGACCTTCGGTTTTGTATGGCTAGTCACTGCTAGACATTTTCGTAATACTGTTATTTCAACAAGAGAAGCAAACCAATCGAAAACCTACCTTTGGTATGTCTAAACCGCGCGCTCCGACGTCAGTACACAAAAGGACAGCAGACTCAGCTTTTACAAACTGAAGGAAGGTGCTTGTCCTTTTAGCTTGTTTTTGTCGTCCATGGATGGCTAGGACTGGAGTATCCACAAAGTTCAGCAACTCGTAGTAAAACTTGACTTCCATGCAGGAAGCCATGAAAACCATAATCTGAAACGTAGAAAAGTATGTGGGTTGCTGACTAGTGAGGTGACTGGGAGTGTGAAAATAATTTTCAACCTTAATGATATCATTGGTGCCAAACAAACGTTATATCTGTGAACATACTTGGCTGATTCGCAATTCTTGGTCACAATACCATATTGTTTATCACATGTTCACTATTTAAACTCAAAATAAACTAGACGACATAAGATAGACTCGTCTTAAGGATTCAAGCGAAGATAATGGCTAGAACTCTCGATCGAGATCTGGGAGACACCATAATTTATGGACGAACCAATCAGACGAGTCTGAGATTTTGGTGCGGAATTTACCCATCCATTTGGCAAAACAGCGTTTTGGCATTATAGCTAGCGTTGGTTCGTGATGAAAACCAATAAACCAAATTACTAACCATTCACTGTTAATCATAATTCTAATTCCTCACACTTTTACAACCCTCTATTAATCCTAGTTCATAGGTGGACATCCTCAAGATCACTTTAGCGTCGCTCAAACGTCGTTTGAGAATGAAATATCGAGTTTCGTTAAAATAATGTCAGCTGCTCTTGGAATCCAGAGACAAGCATGCAGTCTTCAGGAACGCTAAGAAGTTAATTAAAGCAATAGCCCAAGTAAATAATTTGATTAACTATGCTAGACTAGAACCTATGAATACGGTAGAATTCATAACAGTGAAAATATTGTGAAGAAACTTCCCCAGAAAAACCCATGTATCTAGTGTTTATCAGTGCGTCTCTACACTGAATGATTCCGTGTAAAACACAAACTTGACGAAGCGAAAGATACGAAGGAATGGTTAATCATATTAATGAATAGCAATATTTGGATATTCTCGAAATTACCTTTTTACTTTTATTTTTCTTGAGAAATGTGTACAGTAGACAAAAACGCCTATCAGGAGGGCAGACAACATACCCTTGTTCCAATCCCTCAACTGTTGCTTCATTATCAGGAGCTGATCCGACCATAACACAAGAAGCTTTAAGCGCAGCGTTGGCTAGGTTTTTCGTCTTTTCGTTCAAGGTAGCAGAAAACAGCATTGTTTGCCGTACCGTCGGGAGAAGTTTTATAATTTGTCGCATTTCCACTTCGAAACCTATATCCAACAAACGATCAGCTTCATCGATTACAAGAGCTTTAAGATTATGACGGAGGAAGAACTTTGTGTTTGACAAATGATCTAGCAGTCTTCCCGGAGTTGCAACGAGAATTGTCACACCTTTTTCAAGATTCTGAGCTTCAGTTTGTCGGTTGCTACCACCCATAATGAGGCCAATTCGTAAATTCGTGAATTGAATGAGTTCCTAATTATAAAATACACTACACAAAACTTAAAATCTTACTCCCAACACACCATACGTCTGAAGACTAAGTTCACGAGTAGGTGAGATGATTATGGCACCAGTACCATTACGAGGTTGCAGACCCAAGTTTAGCATCAGTTCCACAACAGGTATTAAGAAAGCTAGTGTTTTACCACTCCCAGTTTTAGCACAGGCCATCAGATCCCTGTGCTCAAGCAGCTGTGGAATACATTTATCTTGGATATCAGTCATATGTGTGAAGCCCATTTCCTTGACAGCACGCTTAATCGGCTCTGATATAGGCAAATCTTCAAATTTTCCAGACAATGAGATACTCGTGCCAGGCTGTGACTCTTCTAAATTATCCAACGCGGCATCCCCACCATCGGTTTGTTCTTCAGTGCTTTTTTGTCGAATTTTCTTGAGTCTTTTCTTCAGCTTTTTCGTAGGCGAGAACTCCCTCATCATGCGACAAATGGAACAACTTAGGCGCTTTATTACATAACCTTGAGATTTTCACTGCCAGTCACTGTTAAATATTCCAGATACAGTTCACAGTAGTGATGATTGCAAATTAACCTTGGTACCTAATACTCTGAAATTTTTAGCACTATTAAAATTCAACCTCACCTTGAATAGACCATAGCAGATGCTCATGTTTCTTGGACTGGATGAAGTTTACTAATTCAGTCCTTGGTTTCGGAGGCGGAAATGGTTTGATACCAGTTTTCCAACTTCCTCAAAGTTACGTCTCAAGTGGTCAGCCTCAATTGGAG